CCCTCCCACGCTTACCTCACCCCCAAGGACAGAATCAAACTGAAAACCCTAACTGAAGGGGTCACTGAGAAAAATACTGAAGGAAAAGAAAAACCAGTAACTGAACACATGTCAAGGTCCAGGGAGGAGTTGAAAGGTACAATGACTATTAAACAAATGAGACTGTCTGAACAGAAGGCATGGTCTGATAAAGACACTTGGAAACACCTCCCTATCGTAGATTCGCTGTCAGTGCTAAGTCTCATAATTCAGAGTTTGTTGCTCATAAACCTTATGACAAAGAATTTGGTTCTGATGGTAAATCCTATGAAAAGGTGTAACATGCATGATTTTTGTAAAAAGCTTTTAAATATGCTAGGGGTAGTATCAAGGAAGCCCTATAAAGATACTGCTTCTTAGCTAATACCTATAAGCAGGCTTAGAGCTTGGCACAGCAGAGAAACCATAGCAAACCTAGTCTGCTGTGTGGAAGGAGAAACTGAGGCACACCACCTCATGGCATTGGCGGCTAAATGCCAAGACACCTACACTCTGAAATATATTGATATCTGCATTATGTTAACAATGCTACACAAAAGAATGTTTTCTGGCAACCTGGAAAAAGAAACACAGAATTTTGCAAGAAGACACCCAGAACTCAGATGACACTAAGCTGGGGGGAGAGGTATATACGCTGGAGGGTAAGGATAGGGTCCAGAATGACCTAGACAGATTGGAGGATTTGGCCAAAAGAAATCTGATGAGGTTCAACAAGGACAAGTGAAGAGTCCTGCACTTAGGATGGAAGAATCCCAGGCACTGCTACAGGCTGGGGAGCGACTGGCTAAGCGGCAGTTCTGCAGAAAAGGACCTGGGGATTAGAGTGGACAAGAAGCTGGACATGAGTCAGCAGTGTGCCATCGTTGCCAAGAAGGCTACAGCATATTGGGCTGCATTAGTAGGAGCATTGCCAGCAGATCGAGAGAATTGATTATTCCCCTCTATTCAGCTTTGGTGAGGCCACATCTGGAATTTTATGTCCAGTTTTGGGCCCCCCACTACAGAAAGTATGTGGACAAATTAGATAAACTCCAGTGGAGGGCAATGAAAATGATTAGGGGTCTGGGGCACATGACTTCTGAGGAGAGGCTGTGGGAACTGGGCTTATTTAGTCTGCAGCAGAGAAGAGTGAGGGGGGATTTGATAGCCTTCAACTACCTGTAGGAGTTTTCCAAAGAGGATGGAGCTAGGCTGTTCTCAGAGGTGGTAGGTGACAGAACAAGATCTCAAGTTGCACTGGGGGAGGTCTAGGTTGGATATTAGTATTGATTGACCACAGGATGACTATGAGCCGCCAATGTGATTTGGCAGTGAAAAAGGCTAATGCGGTCTTGAGATGCATCAGGCGAGGTATTTCCAGTAGAGATAAGAAGGTGTTAGTACCGTTGTTCAAGGCACTGGTGAGACCTCATCTGGAATATTGTGTGCAATTCTGGTCTCCCATGTTTAAGAAGGATGAATTCAAACTGGAACAGGTACAGAGAAGAGCTACTAGGATGATCCAAGTGTAACCCTTCTGCCCGTCAGAGTTGGCAGCAACAAGGGCCGGGTTCAATATCTAGGGGATCCATTCCAATAACACAATGCAAACCGGCTCGAGCCCCCACCCAGTGACCTGGGACAAATATATACCACCCCCGCTGGGCGCCTCCAAGAGGCAATACTTCCCCTCTCGCAAGCACATAGTCTGAGTGTAGCAAAAGCCTTTTAATAACAGAGAGAAACAATGTGGCATTATGTTTGGGAAACACCACCAACAGGATTCATAACAAAACCCATGAGCAAAAACCCACCCCAAGCAAATTGGGGCATGCCCTTTTCCCTTTGGTTCTTGAGTCCAGCAACCCCAAATCACTCAAAGTCCCAAAAGTCCAATGCCCCAAAAGTCTCTGTCCCTGGTCAGGGCCGCCCCAGAGTTCGAAAGTTTATCTGCGGAGCTTTACCTCCCAACCTGGGTGGAAATGGGACGGGGGTAAGAGGCACCTTACATGATCTGAAGCTGACCGCCCCACGAACTCCTTCGCTCGGCTGCGCTCCGCTCCGCCAGCCGCCCCACGAACTCCTTCGCTCAGCTCCACAAGCAGCTCCTGCCATCCACAAACTGCTCCACCAGCCGGCCCGCCAACTGCTCCACAATATATCTTCCGGCTCACCCACTACTTAACACAACACTCAGTGATTTCAGCTCTTAGGTGAATTCAGCTTGTAGTAGGGGAGCCCCAGTGTTGGTGCACTGTCAGCCCAAAATGAGCTCAGCAGCCTATAACTAGACTTCTAATGAAATCAAAATTAGCTCTGATATTCCACAGTGGAGAGAGGAGGAAGTGTAATTAGCATATAAGGCCCTCACCAAGGGGGCCCATGCCACCAAGTATTAGTACTTGTCCCCAGCCTCTCTCCATTCACACAGTTTTGGAACCCATGACCCTTGCCTAGCGAGTGCTACTTAGTTGATGGTGAATCCCTCCATCATAACAAAAGGCCACGTACAGTTCCAAGCACAGTTCCCATAATCAGGGTAATAACAATTTATTCTTCCTGCCCCAATAACAGAGACAATGGGGATCCCACAGCAGCCAAAGTGACCATTTGGGCAGCTATGGTCTCATTCTAGGCGGGGTGGGTGTGCCTATGCAAATGAGATCAGCCCCTGAAGTTCTTTTCCACAACTTGCCACACCTCACCACCAGATGTCAGGGTGGAGCTCATCCTGACACTGCTTACACAAGGAACGGAAAACCTGTCTTATGAAAGGAGTCTCAAAGAGCTTGGCTTGTTTAGCCTAACCAAAAGAAGGCTGAGGGGAGATATGATTGCTTTCTATAAATATATCAGAGGGATAAATACCAAGGAGGGAGAGGAATTATTTAAACTCAGTACCAATGTGGACACAAGAACAAATGGATATAAACTGGCCATCAAGAATATTTGACTTGAAATTAGACAAAGGTTTCTAACCATCAGAGGAGTGAAGTTCTGGAACAGCCTTCCAAGGGGAGCAGTGGGGGCAAAAGACCTATCTGGCTTCAAGACTAAGCTTGATAAGTTTATGGAAGAGATGGTATGATGGGATAGCCTAATTTTGGCAATTAATTGAACTTTGACTATTAGCAGTAAATATGCCCAATGGCCTGTGATGTGGTGTTAGATGGGGTGGGATCTGAGTTACTACAGAGAATTCTTTCCTGGGTGCCTGGCTGGTGAGTCTTGCCCACATGCTCAGGGTTTAGCTGATCACCTTATTTGGGGTCAGGAAGGAATTTTCCTCCAGGGCAGATTGGAAGAGGCCCTGGGGGTTTTTCGCCTTCCTCTGCAGCATGGGGCACGGGTCACTTGCTGGAGGATTCTCTCCACCTTGAAGTCTTTAAACAATGATTTGAGGACTTCAATAGCTCAGACTATTAGAGGCTTATTGTGTGTGTGTTTGAGAGAGTGAGAGAGACTCTGTGTGTGTGTGTGTGTGTGTGTGTGTGCATATGTGTGAGAGAGAGAGAGACAGAGGCAGTGTGTGAGAGACACAAAGACAGGGTGTTTGTGTGCTGGCAGCTGGGGAACTGCATGAGAGACCATGAGCTGTCTCTAAGCACAGTGGCACTTGCCAGTCTGAAGGCTCCTTCAGACCACAGCAGCTGCCAGCAGCTCCATCTAACTCCAGAGCCCTGTCCCCACCCCCACCCCCCCGGCTCTGTGGACATGGCGGGAGGGAGGCGAGGGGCACCCTGATATCAGTGTCCCCTCCCCCCCCCCGCACAGGAGCAAGAGGGTCCCGGGAGCAGCTGGCCAGGGGCTCCAAGGCAGAGGGCAAGAACAGCAGGGCGAGGGGCACCTCAACACGAATTGCCGGATGTGCACGGCTCTGCTCATCGAGTGCACGGGACTTGATTGACTTTTGTGCGGCCGTGCAGGCGTGCAGCTTAGAGGGAACACGGATTATAACTCTCTGAAAATGAATAATTAAAACATCCATTTTAGCACAAACAGAGGCTGAGAGGAGTTGATGCAACGCTGACCTTGATTTGTTTGTAGAAATCATCAGATATCTTTAGGACAACATCCTCCCACTCTTTGAACAAAGGTTAGACACGACGAAGCAGAGGCAGAGCGGTGCCGGGATGGAGCGTTCCACCCAGCAGAGACAGGCGCTGCAATTCTGTGACATCTTTTGTGCAAGTGATTTAGAATTTAGGGATGAGGAAGATCATAATTAGCTCCAAGGCTACAGCCACTAACTCTGCCTTTTGGAGGAAAAAATACATCCTGTGAATCTGGGAGCCAGCCCCCTGTAGATGGGATTAAGGCTAGAAAAAAGAGGATAATCTGGGAGTAAATAGGAGCAAATGCATAGAAAACCCCAGGAGTCTGTGATCAAATAATGGGGGAAAGTGAAGACATCCCTAGTCCTGCTTTAAATTGGGCTGCTGCACCAGTGTCCCAAAGCAGCCGTAATTAACTAGCCAGTTAAACGGGGTGCACAGCTGTTCGTCACCACAGAATGGTGCAAAGCAACCAAACGGTACTGGTGAATCTGGCCCATGGCACTGCAGAAAAACATGGCATGATGGTGGCTTTTCCCTAGTTTTGGGAGGTGTTTTATGGGAGCCCTTTACATTGTTGAGCTGTGTTTGGGCTCTTTTAAGAAGCTAGTTTCTTTGTACCTTGCTTGTGAAAAGAAACCCACTACCTTAGGCCAGCTCCTCTCAAGTGTGCAACCCCGTTAAACCCAATGGGTTTGTACAAGAGGCACCAAGGGCTGGTCTACACTGGGAATTTACATTGGCATAGCTGTGCCTCTCAAAATCCACGCCCCCTGGGAGACGTGGCTAGACTGACCTAACCACCCTCTGTGTAGTCAGCGCTATGTCAGTGGGAGAATTCTTCCGTCAACCTCGCTACCGCCTCCTGGGGAGGTGCCTTATCTACTATGCCAATGGCAGCACCCCTCCTGTCAGCAAGGTAGAGTCTACTTCAGCCCTGCAGCTGCACTGTTTCAAAATGTAGACCTGCCCTACAGATGTGAATTAGAAGTGGATTAGCTAAACTGCATTAAAGCCCTGTGTGGACACTCTCAGCCCTGGTCTACACTAGGACTTTAGGTCGAATTTAGCAGCGTTAAATCGATTTAAACCTGCACCCGTCCACACGATGAAGCCCTTTATTTCGATTTAAAGGGCTCTTAAAATCGATTTCCTTACTCCACCCCTGACAAGTGGATTAGCGCTTAAATCGACATTGCTGGCTCGAATTTGGGGTACTGTGGACACAATTCGATGGTATTGGCCTCCGGGAGCTATCCCAGAGTGCTCCATTATGACCGCTCTGGACAGCACTCTCAACTCAGATGCACTGGCCAGGTAGACAGGAAAAGAACCGCGAACTTTTGAATCTCATTTCCTGTTTGGCCAGTGTGGCAAGCTGCAGGTGACCATGCAGAGCTCATCAGCACAGGTGACCATGATGGAGTCCCAGAATCGCAAAAGAGCTCCAGCATGGACCGAACGGGAGGTACGGGATCTGATCACTGTTTGGGGAGAGGAATCCATGCTATCAGAACTCCGTTCCAGTTTTCGAAATGCCAAAACCTTTGTCAAAATCTCCCAGGGCATGAAGGACAGAGGCCATAACAGGGACCCGAAGCAGTGCCGCATGAAACTGAAGGAGCTGAGGCAAGCCTATCAGAAAACCAGAGAGGCGAACAGCCGCTCTGGGTCAGAGCCCCAAACATGCCGCTTCTATGATGAGCTGCATGCCATTTTAGGGGGTTCAGCCACCACTACCCCAGCCGTGTTGTTTGACTCCTTCAATGGAGATGGAGGCAATACGGAAGTAGGTTTTGGGGACGAAGAAGATGATGATGAGGAGGAGGTTGTAGATAGCTCACAGCAAGCAAGCGGAGAAATCGGTTTTCCCGACAGCCAGGAACTGTTTCTCACCCTAGACCTGGAGCCAGCACCCCCTGAACCCACCCAAGGCTGCCTCCTGGACCCAGCAGGCGGAGAAGGGACCTCTGGTGAGTGTACCTTTTAAAATGCTATACATGGTTTAAAAGCAAGCATGTGAAAGGATTACTTTGCCCTGGCATTTGCGGTTCTCCTAGATGTAGTCCTAAAGCCTTTGCAAAAGGTTTCTGGGGAGGGCAGCCTTATTTCGTCCTTCATGGTAGGACACTTTACCACTCCAGGCCAGTAACACGTACTCGGGAATCACTGTAGAACAAAGCATTGCAGTGTATGTTTGCTGGCATTCAACCAAAATCCGTTCTTTATCTCTCTGTGTTATCCTCAGGAGAGTGAGATATAATTCATGATCACCTGGTTGAAATAGAGTGCTTTTCTTCAGGGGACACTCAGAGGAGCCCATTCCTGCTGGGCTGTTTGCCTGTGGCTAAACAGAAATGTTCCCCGCTGTTAGCCACAGGGAGGGGAGAAGGTTGAGGGGGTAGTCACGCGGTGGGAGGAGGCAAAATGCGACCTTGTAATGAAAGCACATGTGCTATGTATGTAATGTTAACAGCAAGGTTTACCCTGAAAGAGTGTAGCGACTGTTTTATAAAATGTGTCTTTTTAAATACCGCTGTCCCTTTTTTTTTCTCCACCAGCTGCATGTGTTTCAATGATCACAGGATCTTCTCCTTCCCAGAGGCTAGTGAAGCTTAGAAAGAAAAAAAAACGCACTCGCGATGAAATGTTCTCCGAGCTCATGCTGTCCTCCCACACTGACAGAGCACAGATGAATGCGTGGAGGCAAATAATGTCAGAGTGCAGGAAAGCACAAAATGACCGGGAGGAGAGGTGGAGCGCTGAAGAGAGTAAGTGGCGGGCTGAAGAGAGTAAGTGGCGGGCTGAAGACAGGGCTGAAGCTCAAATGTGGCGGCAGCGTGATGAGAGGAGGCAGGATTCAATGCTGAGGCTGCTGCAGGACCAAACCAGTATGCTCCAGTGTATGGTTGAGCTGCAGCAAAGGCAGCTGGAGCACAGACTGCCACTGCTGCCCCTCTGTAACCAACCGCCCTCCTCCCCAAGTTCCATAGTCTCCACACCCAGACGCCCAAGAACGCGGTGGGGGGCCTCCGGCCAACCAGCCACTCCACCACAGAGGATTGCCCAAAAAAAAGAAGGCTGTCATTCAATAAATTTTAAAGTTGTAAACTTTTAAAGTGCTGTGCTTAAAGTGCTGTGTGGCATTTTCCTTCCCTCCTCCACCACCCCTCCTGGGATACCTTGGTAGTCATCTCCCTGTTTGTGTGATGAATGAATAACGAATGCATGACTGTGAAGCAGCAATGACTTTATTGCCTCTGCAAGCAATGATTAAAGGGAGGAGGGGAGGGTGGTTAGCTTACAGGGAAGTAGAGTGAACCAAGGGGCGGGGGGTTTCATCAAGGAGAAACAAACAGAACTTTCACACCGTAGCCTGGCCAGTCATGAAACTGGTTTTCAAAGCTTCTCTGATGCGTACCGCGCCCTCCTGTGCTCTTCTAACCGCCCTGGTGTCTGGCTGCGCGTAACCAGCAGCTAGGCGATTTGCCTCAACCTCCCACCCCACCATAAACGTCTCCCCCTTACTCTCACAGATATTGTGGAGCACACAGCAAGCAGTAATAACAGTGGGAATATTGGTTTCGCTGAGGTCGAAGCGAGTCAGTAAACTGCGCCAGCGCGCCTTTAAACGTCCAAATGCACATTCTACCACCATTCTGCACTTGCTCAGCCTGTAGTTGAACAGCTCCTGACTACTGTCCAGGCTGCCTGTGTACGGCTTCATGAGCCATGGCATTAAGGGGTAGGCTGGGTCCCCAAGGATACATATAGGCATTTCAACATCCCCAACAGTTATTTTCTGGTCTGGGAATAAAGTCCCTTCCTGCAGCTTTTGAAACAGACCAGAGTTCCTGAAGATGCGAGCATCATGCACCTTTCCCGGCCATCCCACGTTGATGTTGGTGAAACGTCCCTTGTGATCCACCAGAGCTTGCAGCACTATCGAAAAGTACCCCTTGCGGTTTATGTACTCGGCGGCTTGGTGCTCCGGTGCCAAGATAGGGATATGGGTTCCGTCTATAGCCCCACCACAGTTAGGGAATCCCATTGCAGCAAAGCCATCCACTATGACCTGCACATTTCCCAGGGTCACTACCCTTGATATCAGCAGATCTTTGATTGCGTGGGCTACTTGCATCACAGCAGCCCCCACAGTAGATTTGCCCACTCCAAATTGATTCCCAACTGACCGGTAGCTGTCTGGTGTTGCAAGCTTCCACAGGGCTATCGCCACTCGCTTCTCAACCGTGAGGGCTGCTCTCATCTTGGTATTCATGCGCTTCAGGGCAGGGGAAAGCAAGTCACAAAGTTCCATGAAAGTGCCCCTACGCATGCGAAAGTTTCGCAGCCACTGGGAATCGTCCCAGACCTGCAACACTATGCGGTCCCACCAGTCTGTGCTTGTTTCCCGAGCCCAGAATCGGCGTTCCACAGCATGAACCTGCCCCATTAGCACCATGATGCATGCATTGGCAGGGCCCATGCTTTCAGAGAAATCTGTGTCCATGTCCTGATCACTCACGGGACCGCGCTGACGTCGCCTCCTCGCCCGGTATCGCGTTGCCATGTTCTGGTGCTGCATATACTGCTAGATAATGCGTGTGGTGGTTAATGTGCTCCTAATTGCCAAAGTGAGCTGAGCGGCCTCCATGCTTGCCTTGGTATGGCGTCCGCACAGAAAAAAGGCGCGGAACGATTGTCTGCCGTTGCTCTGACGGAGGGAGGGGCGACTGACGACACGGCTTACAGGGTTGGCTTCAGGGAGCTAAAATCAACAAAGGGTGTGCCTGTACATCAAGGAGTATTTCAGGCAGGACTGCACGGAGGGTTCCAATAAGAAATGGTGCACCTAAGTTATCGTTGTTATTGGAACAAGGAGGTTAGCCTGGCCTCTGATTGATACATGGCTAGATTTACCTCGCTGCACCTTCTCTGTGAGTGACTGCAGTGTGATCTAGACAGGGGAGGAGGCAAATGAGTACAAAACAAATCTGGTCTATTTCTTGTTCTGACCCACTCCATCTATCTTTTACATCTTTGGCTGGCAGCAGACGGTGCAGAAGGACTGCATGCCATCCACATCTCATGTCTGCTCGGCAGAAGATGGTACAGTACGACTGCTAGCCATCTTCATCTCTTGCCTGCCTGGCATAAGATGGTACAATACGACTGCTAGCAATCCTCATCTCTTGCCTGCCTGGCAGAAGATGGTACAGTACGACTGCTAGCAGTCCGTATCGCCTGCCCGCTCACCATAAGACGGTTCAATAGGACTGACTGCAGGACTAAAGAGAATGACCTGCTCAAGTCACTCCAAATTTAGTCCCTGCGCCCATGTCTGCCCAGGCGCTCCCAGCCGACGTGGCCAGGAGCACCTCGGACACAACGAGGACGACTACCAATCGTATTGCACCGTCTGCTGCCAGAAGGCAATGGGTTGCTGCTACTGTGCAGCAAAGCCGTACCGCGTCTGCCAGCACCCAGGAGACATAGGGTGACGGTTACCTGAGCTGGCTCCATGCTTGCCGTGGTATGGCGTCTGCACAGGTAACTCAGGAAAAAAGGCGCAAAATGATTGTCTGCCTTTGCTTTCACGGAGGGAGGGAGGGAACGGGGGCCTGACGACACGTACCCAGAACCACCCGCGACAATGTTTTAGCCCCATCAGAGTGCTCCATTGTGACTGCTCTGGACAGCACTCTCAGATGCCCGATTGTTTGCCGTTGCTCTGACGCCGGGAGGGGCGACTGAGGACACGGCTTACAGGGTTGGCTTCAGGGAGCTAAAATCAACAAAGGGGGTGGCTTTACATCAAGGAGTATTTCAGGCAGGACTTCACGGAGGGTTCCAATAAGAAATGGTGCACCTAAGTTATTGTCCTTATTGGAACAAGAAGGTTAGCCTGGCCTCTGATTGATACATGGCTAGATTTACCTCGCTGCACCTTCTCTGTAAGTGACTGCAGTGTGATCTAGAAGAATGAGTCCCCTAGACAGGGGGGGGGGAAGCAAATGAGTACAAAACAAATCTGGTCTATTTCTTGTTTTGATCCACTCCATCTATCTTTTACATCTTTGGCTGGCAGCAGACGGTGCAGAAGGACTGCATGCCATCCACATCTCATGGCTGCTCGGCAGAAGATGGTACAGTACGACTGCTAGCAGTCCGTATCGCCTGCCCGCTCACCATAAGACGGTTCAATAGGACTGACTGCAGGACTAAAGAGAATGACCTGCTCAAGTCACTCCAAATTTAGTCCCTGCGCCCATGTCTGCCCAGGCGCTCCTGATCGACCTCACAGAGGCGACCAGGAGCACCTCGGACATGACGATGACGGCTACCAGTCGTACTGTACCGTCTGCTGCCACAAGGCAAGGGGTTGCTGCTACTGTGTAGCAATGCCGTACCACGTCTGCCAGCACCCAGGAGACATAGGGTGACGGTTACCTGAGCGGGCTCCATGCTTGCCGTGGTATGGCGTCTGCACAGGTAACTCAGGAAAAAAGGCGCGAAATGATTGTCTGCCCTTGCTTTCACGGAGGGAGGGAGGGAACGGGGGCCTGACGATATGTACCCAGAACCACCCGCGACAATGTTTTGGCCCCATCAGGCATTGGGATCTCAACCCAGAATTCCAATGGGCAGCGGAGACTGCGGGAACTGTGGGATAGCTACCCACAGTGCAACGCTCCGGAAGTCGACGCTTGCCTCGGTACTGTGGAAGCGCTCCGCCGAGTTAATGCACTTAATGCACTTAGAGCATTTTCTGTGGGGACACACACAGTCGAATATATAAAACCGATTTCTAAAAAACCGACTTCTATAAATTCGACCTAATTTCGTAGTGTAGACATACCCTCATTAAGGGCTTGGCTACACTGGAAACTTTAAAGCGCTCCCACGGGAACGCTCCCGCGTCAGTGTGGTCACGTGTGCTCCTGGTAATCCGCCTCCACAAGGGGATTAGCTCCAAGTGCTGGGAGTGCGGATCCCAGCGCTCGGAGTCTGTCTACACTAGCGCTTTAAAGCGCTCAGACTTGCTGCGCTCAGGGGGGTGATTTTTCACCCCCCTGAGCCAGCAAGTTAAAGCGCTATAAAATGTAAGTGTAGCCAAGCCCTAAGGGTAGGTCTACATTTAAAACACTGACAGGTGGTAGCTATGTCAGCGGGAGAAGCTCTCCGATTGACATAGCACTGTCTACAAAGGGTTGTTAAGGTCATTATAACTACATGGCTCCAGGGTATGGAATTTTCACACCCATGCAACATAGTTAGACAGACATAGGTCTGTTGTGTAGACCAGACCTCAGAATTAAATCAGTTTAGCTTAACTCACTTTGAGTGAATTCCCAGAAGACTTCTATCTTGGTGGATTTCAGAGTAACAGCCGTGTTAGTCTGTATTCGCAAAAAGAAAAGGAGTACTTGTGGCACCTTAGAGACTAACCAATTTATTTGAGCATGAGCTTTCGTGAGCTACAGCTCACTTCATCGGATGCATACCGTGGAAACTGCAGCAGACTTTATATACACACAGAGAATATGAAACAATACCTCCTCCCACCCCACTGTCCTGCTGGTAATAGCTTATCTAAAGTGATCATCAGGTTGGGCCATTTCCAGCACAAATCCAGGTTTTCTCACCCTCCACCCCCCCACACAAATTCACTCTCCTGCTGGTGATAGCCCATCCAAAGTGACAACTCTTTACACAATGTGCATGATAATCAAGTTGGGCCATTTCCTGCACAAATCCAGGTTCTCTCACCCCCTCACCCCCCTCCCAAAAACCACACACACAAACTCACTCTCCTGCTGGTAATAGCTCATCCAAACTATCTTGGTGGGAAGTGTCAGGAAGATTGGATAACTTTATGGGGGAGGTGGGTGTGTAAAATTGTGTCTATAGTGGAAATCTATCTTCAGTCTAAATTTTGTTCCAGGCACTGCAACTTCATAATACAGCATAATACCATCCCCAAATATGGTTATTAGTTAGATATCCATGTTATCTATCTTTTATTATAGAGGAAAATGCTGAAATTAGCAATGAGATTTGTCATAAATATAAAGGGAAGGGTAAACCCCTTTAAAATCCCCCCTGGCCGGAGGAAAAAATCCTCTCACCTGTAAAGGGTTAAGAAGCTAAAGGTAACCTCGCTGGCACCTGACCAAAATGACCAATGAGGAGACAAGATACTTTCAAAAGCTGGGAGGAGGGAGTAAAACAAAGGGTCTGTGTCTGTCTGGGTGATGCTTTTGCCGGGGACAGAACAGGAATGGAGTCTTAGAACTTATTAAGTAACCTAGCTAGATATGCGTTAGATTCTGATTTCTTTAAATGGCTCAGAAATTAAGTTGTGCTGAATAGAATATAGATTCCTGTCTGTGTGTCTTTTTTGTAACTTAAGGTTTTGCCTAGAGGGATTCTCTATGTTTTGAATCTAATTACCCTGTAAGGTATCTACCATCCTGATTTTACAGAGATGACTCTTTTTTACTTCTATTAAAAGTCTTCTTGTAAGGAAACTGAATGCTTTTTCATTGTTCTAAGATCCAAGGGTTTGGGTCTGTGGTCACCTATGCAAATTGGTGAGGATTTTTACCAAACCTTCCCCAGGAAGTGGGGTGCAAGGGTTGGGAGGATTTTGGGGGGAAAGACTTGTCCAAACTACGTTTTCTCAGGAAACCAGATAAAGTTTGGTGGTGGCAGTGGAAGTTCAAGGGCAGAGGGTAAAAAATAGTTTGTACCTTGCGGAAGTTTTAACCTAAGATTCTTGTTACTTTGCCTCTGAGGTGAAGCTGCCAATAAGGAAAGTGTTAGAGAGGATGGATAGTCTATGATTTTAATGGGCTAGTCAAATATTCTATTGGACAAAAGCCACAAGCAAAAAACCAGTAGGAAATGAAAACATTTTATTGCAAAACATGTAATGAAGACAGCATGGCAATGTACATTTAAAAAAAAAACAGATTTTTTTACATCAAAATACATTCATGAAAACCTTGATTTCAGTTACATCAGTATAAAATCAGCATCAGTGTCATGTTATATTTATTCCTCATTAATTGAACAAATTCTCATTGTTGTTTTTTTGTCTGAATTTTTAAAAAATGGATAAACCTCTCCTGAGAATGAACAATCATTAAATGTGAACAACACAGACATGTCAGTTACATTGAAAAAAGTCACCTGCCTGTCTTGGTAACTAAGGGAAACTCCAATTTTCTTCGGCTTTTTCTGCACCATGACCCGGGTCCATGGGTCTGTTTTTGCCCAATAATCTCTCCCACTCAGACCCAGAGCCCAGAATCCCTCTTTAGGAGACAGGGAAAGTTTTCCTTTTCTCTGTATTGATGTTTTGGCCACCCCCAGGTCCCAGTCAGTGCTGCTCACAACCTCCACCTCCCAGTAGTGCTTTCCAGCGAAGAATCCTTCACAGCCCAACACACAGATGGTCGAATCGAACCTCTCTGGGTTTGGTGGAACTTGCTGAGGTTGGGCTTCATGTGTAAAACTCTTCTTGTCCTCAGAAATTGAAAGGTTGGGGTGGGCCGTGACTCCGTGCAAAGTGATGTCATCTACAGGAACATAAGAACATAAAAACATAAGAACGGCCGTACTGGGTCAGACCAAAGGTCCACCCAGCCCAGTATCCTGTCTACCGACAGTGGACAATGCCTGGTGCCCCAGAGGGAGTGAACCTCACAGGTAATGATCAAGTGATCTCTCTCCTGCCATCCATCTCCACCCTCTGACAACAGAGGCGAGGGACACCATTCCTTACCCATCCTGGCTAGTAGCCATTAATGGACTTAACCTCCATGAATTTACTGAGTTCTCTTTTAAACTCTGTTATAGTCCTAGCCTTCACAACCTCCTCAGGAAAGGAGTTCCACAGGTTGACTGAGCGCTGTGTGAAGAAGAACTTCCTTTTATTTATTTTAAACCAGCTGCTTATTAATTTCATTTGGTAGCCCCTACTTCTTATATTATGAGAACAAGTAAATAACTTTTCCTTATTCACTTTCTCCCCATTCCCGCCACCACATCATCTGTGCCTTCACTGTGGCCGAAATCCCAAAGTTCCTCCTTAGGCACTTTTGAAAACCCCGCTTCAAGTAAACACTGAGGCCCAGCTCCTCAAAGCTATTTAGGTGCCTAACTCCCATTGGGATTATTACCTTGGAGGAGCTGGGCTGAAATGACTTGGGAGCACAGGTCTGTCAGAGGGTAGCTGGCCCTCTGAAGGGGTCAGGGGCCCAGCCTTCCCCTGACAGGCTCCGCAAGGGGGCATAAGGAAGCTCAAGTTCACCTGGGAGTAGTTACTTCACTGAGTAACTGGGGGAAGGGAATTAGGCGGGGAAGCACTGGGTATTGATAAAAGGTTAAGGGCCCTAGTGAGAGGGAGGAGCTCCTGGGGAGAAAGGCAGCAGCCAGAGAGGCAGAGGGATTGCAGAGAGAGGATCCCTCCAGCACACTGGGGAGAAGCTGCTTGAGAAGCCAACATGCCAAAGAGAGAGAAGCAGAGCAAGAGGTTGGGGAAGCCTCCAGAGCAGGAGAGGTAGGAGGCGGCTCAGGGAGCCACAAGCAACAGAGAAGGACTCATTCTGGCTGTTCCAAAGAAGGACCCTGAGATGGAACCCAGTGGAGTGGATGGGCCCAGGTTCCCCTACCTACTCCGGCCAAGGAATTTGGAGAAGAAGGCTCCAAAACATGGAGATCTAGGGCTCTCTACCCCACTAGAGTCAAGGAACTTCCAATTCCCCATGATCCTGAAGGGGACTAAGACTATTAAGGACCCAGTGAAAGGGCTAGACAATGAACTTGACAAATACAGAATTGAGGATGGAGGCATAAGGAGGATGGAGTCAGGTGGTGTATCTCTCCATCCTGCCACAGTGGGTTGCTAACAGATATAGGCCCCATTTACAAGGCCCCATTGAGTTGCAATGAGATTTGTGCGCTGAAACCACTTAGATGTTTTTGAATATCACACCATCAGTCTTCACTCAAGGAAATCTCTCATTGGGGGCTGATTCTGAACTGACTGTTGTAATTCAGGACTAACTCCATGCAAGTCAATGGAGTTACAATGGTGTGAAATGGATGTAAATAAAGTCAGAATCAGGCCTTGAAATTAGTTTAGGAGCTGGGAAGGGCCTTAGGAGCCGAGTCTCTGATAAGAACAGGTTGTGTTTCTAGTTTGATTATAGTATAAAACCTGCTGATTTCTTTAATAATGGGATAGATTCTAATGTATTCAGGTTCTCACGTTGCATCTATCACCATAGTATTAGCACCTCTATCCATGTGCTGTGTGTTCTGTTACCTGAATTGTTCCGAGCCCTTCTCCATTCTGAAACGAAAGTAAGAAAACAACAGACATTGGATTAAGAGAGGCATTGACTGCGGATTTCCTCCCCTCCAGCAGCAAGGAAGTTCCAGACTTGCTGGAGGGCAAGTGAGGATGCCAGACGCATTAGGGGGTGATTCCTTTTGCAGGAGTTAATATAGACAAAAATGGCACTTGAATAGTCATTCTCTCTCTCTCTCTCTCTCTCTCTCTCTCGGTCACACACATGTGGGCTGTTCTGAGCTAAGATTAGAAACCAGGGCAGGAGTCCTGCTCTGTCTAAGATCTGCTCCGTCTGTCTTGAACCTCCAGTCAATGTGTCACCTCCCCATGTTACCTGCTCTCATTGGCTTTGATCTAACTCCCTCTTACACATTCCCCTCTCACTCGAACAAAAACTGAATGTTCCCATTAACAATGTTTTCAACCACCAGAGGCTGTATTCACAGCAACCCAGTCCCTATTAGGCAGGACATAGGACAATTCCCTCCAATGTGTGTCTACATTGCAGCTGGGAGGTGTAATACCTAGCGTGGGTAGACATATATATGCCAGTTCTGTTTGAGCTAGTGCACTAAAAATAGCAGAGTGACCACGCTGGCTCGGGTTAGCCACATGAGTCCAATCTGTGTCTGAGCCCTGGGTACACACCCCAGCTGCTGTGCAGACATACTTTAAATCAGTGAAACTTCAGCTATGGCTACTGATGTGTTTTGGTCCCCATGGCTGTCAAGAAGACAGCGGGTCTGTCCCACCCCTCAGGCTGAGACAGACAGCACAGAGCAGGCCACATCTCCCATGCTGCCTGGTACGTGTGAGCAGTGTGGGCAGCTGCAATGTGTCTGCCTGGAGCTGCTGTGTTCCCTTATATGGATGGGGAAGAAAATGGACTGTCAGGATCCCCTTCTCCATCAGAAGCAGCCAGGGAGATGGAAGAGAGACAGGAGAAATTGCACCTCTCCAAATATCCAAGCAATGGGAGTGGGGACACCAGCAAGGGTGTACCTAGGTCTTCACTCACCTAATTCTTTCTTCATTTCACCTGAAAAAAAACATATTACAGCCTTTTATACTCTTGTTCAGTGTTTTCCTTGGTACCACACGTCAAAGATTACCCAGTAAATGAATTAAATTGTTCTCTCTGTTGGCGAAGGAGAAAAGGTGCATTTTCAATCCGCACCCATACCCAGCCCAATCCCCGGCTCACTCTTTCGCTACATGAAATTCCACGGTTCTGCAGAAGGAGCTTTGAATACCAAGAAAAGGGGCAACAGAAGAGCAGAGTGTGTTGAACCCTCCTTCCTCATGGGGGGAGAGGTCATGACCCCTTCCCCCCCCCTTGACTATCTACCAATGTGATATATGCCATCATGTACCCGCAATGCCCTCTGCCATGTACATTGGTCAGACTGGACAGTCTCTACGTAAAAGAATAAATGGACACAAATCAGACGTCAAGAATCGTAACGTTCAAAAACTAGTTGGAGAACACTTCAATCTCTCTGGTCACTCGATTACAGACCTAAAAGTGGCTATTTTTCAACAAAAAAACTTCAAAAACAGACTCCAAGGAGAGACCGCTGAATTGGAATTAATTTGCAAACTGGATACAATTAACTTAGGCTTGAATAGAGACTGGGAGTGGATGGGTCATTACACAAAGTAAAACTATTTCCCCATGTTTATTCCCCCCACCCACCCCACACTGTTCCTCAGACGGTCATGTCAACTGCTGGAAATGGCCCACCTTGATTATCACTGCAAAAGGTTCCCCCCGCACCCCCGCCCCACTCACCTGCTGGTAATAGCTCACCTTAAGTGATCACTCTCGTTACAGTGTGTATGGTAACACCCATTGTTTCATGTTTTCTATGTATATATATATGTATGTTCTATGTATATAAATCTATGTATGTTCTCTATGTGTATATATATATCCCCCACTGTATTTTCCACTGAATGTATCCGATGAAGTGAGCTGTAGCTCATGAAAGCTTATGCTCAGATAAATTGGTTAGTCTCTAAGGTGCCACAAGTACTCCTTTTCTTTTTACGGACACAGACTAACATGGCTGCTACTCTGAAACCTATTTTAATGCAAAGTCCTTTCAATGTGTACATGGCCTTTCACGCCGTGTCTGCAAGAGTGTTATGGTTTTTGGAGAATACAAACCAGGAGTGCGTGAGTCTCTGTAAATTTCAACAAAGTCAGAGCAGTACTGCTCAGAACCAGAACATGCTCATGTATGTTATTGACAAAATTAGCCAAGTAATCTGCTCTATCAAAAACGGCAAAGTGGGGTGAGGTCTAAAAAATCAATAATTTTTCTTTTCATTTTAGAAGACTCCTACACAGCAGTAGAGCAAACAGAAGAAAAAGGACACAGACTTACTTATTCTCTTTTCCAAGTCTCCTAAAAAAGAAAAAATATGTTTAAAGATAACAATAGCAGCCTTTGTAATAAGAAAGCCAAGAACAAAAGGTAACACATGTTATCTCATCTTTTATTCATTCTGGTGCTCTTCTCTTAACCCTCTCCAGTTTGAGAACTTCTTTCTTCAGTGGGGGACACCAGAATTGCAAAAACTATTCCAGCAACAGAGCCAAATACAGAGCTAATATTATCTCTATAGTCCTCATTAAGATCACCATCGTGGTCTCTGGCCTGGGGCCCAGTGAACACTTTCCTACTGAAGGGCTTCTATGAGCTCCAGTGAAAGGGTACTTCCTCTTCCACCGCAGCGATTCCTGCCCGCCACTGATCACCTCTTCTGCAGAGGACAGGAGGTGCTGGGGGGGAGGACTGGGGGAAGGAAGAGGCGGAACGAAGATCTGCCACTCTTGGAAGAGGGGTTGCAATAGGGCAGGGAGAAGAGGAGTGGGAGAGGGAAGAGGGTATAGTAGGGGAGGGGCAAGGGACAGAGAGGTGGTCACGCACCATCAAGGAAATCAAAACGTTGGCACCTCTGCCTACACTGCCCCCACGTGACTGGGTGACTGAACTGATCCTTAACAACGTCTCCTTCATTCTGAAGTGAAAAATTAGAATGTTCCTCACGATGACACATAGCTGCACACTGTCCCAATGCCAAGGAGCCTATGCAGTGTAGCCTGGGGAACTGGGCCGACCCATGCTTCCTAATCCACCTTGTGGGGGTCTCACTAACCCTACATAGGTACACCAGACCAGTGAAGCTAAATGGGGTAGAGACCACAGCACTGGTTGATTCGGGGAGTGCTATCACGCTTGTCTCGGGGAAGCTCGTGAAGTGTAATCAGCTGCTGTGGGCTAAGCGTATGAGGATAACATGCGTCCATGGGACAGTTGGTTATTACCCCACCCTCCCAGTAAAAATTGAGATTCAGGGGAACACTACTGAGGTAGCAGCAGGTGTAGTCCATAAACTCCCATACCCGGTGCTCATAGGGAGGGACTTCCCAGGGTTTGGAGACTTACTCCCAGTAGAGGAATTGGAGAAAGGGGGAAGCCCTGAAAGTAGTGAGGCATCCACAGTAGACTGTCAACCTCCAACCTTCTCTGAAATATCCCCAGATTTCTTCTCCACTCCCAGACAGCATAGAAAGACGAAACGGGAAAGAAGGGCAGCTAAGGCCTTGGGAACCCGAATACTGGCCCAAAGCCAGAGGGTTGCTCTCGGAGGTAGGCGGACCCAAGCAGTTGAAAAGGATGCCACCCAGAAGGGAGAAGCACCCAAGTCTGACCCACACCCTAACGCCTCTGAACCTGCAGAGGCAACAGAGACTGGCCCCCTACATCTCAGGCAGATTAGCCTCGGGAGAGGAAATTTTGGACAGGACCAGGCTGAAGACCCAAGGTACGACAACATCAGGAAGGAGGTGACCGAAATAGATGGGGTCCCCGTGGAAGGGAAAACCCAGGGACCAGGACCCTACTTCATAATGAAGAAGAATCTCTTATACCGGGTTGCACCAGTACAGGGGCAGAAGGTACAGCAGATTCTAGTTCCTCAAAAACACCAGAATGCTGTATTAAGTCTGGCCCATAGTCATCTTTTGGGGGGGCATTTAGGGGTAGAGAAGACCCTGGCACGGATCCTGCGACGATTCTTCTGGCCCCAAGTACATGAAGAAGTGCGGAGGTACTGTGCGTCCTGCCCGGAGTGTCAGCTGCACAGTCCCCCTCCCCACTTGAGGGCACCTTTGGTACCCCTTCCCATCATAGAGGTCCCCTTCGTGCAAATAGCCATGCATCTAGTGAGACCCCTGGACAAGGCAGCCCAGGCCACCAATATATACTTGTCATTTTGGATTATGCTACTCGCTACCCAGAAGCCGTACCCCTGGGGAACACGGCCTCTAAAACGATAGCTAAAGAGTTGGTGGGGATCTTTGCCTGAGTGGGGCTACCAAAGGAGATATTAACAGACCAAGGTACCCCATTTAGGTCAAAGCTAATGAAGGACCTCTGTACGCTACTCCATATACATACCCTGAGAACTTCAGCCTATCATCCGCAGACCCATGGGCAGGTAGAAAGGGTTAACCGAACCCTCAAAGCAATGATAAGGTAAGTCGGGACTGGGAAGGATTGGGACTCCCTACTACCCTACCTTATGTTTGCAATCCGGGAGGTACCTCAGGCCTCAACTGGGTGGAGTGTCCGCATGGCTTCAGCTACTACAAGGTCAAGCACAGTACAAGCAACTCGGTCCTGCCACACTCCCCATCCAGAGCTTTTCCATTCAGTGCATATGTTCAGCTCCTGTAGTGCGTGGATGTTTTTTCTCACATGCCCGACTGCCCTTGAACCACGACCCCTCTCACTTTCTTTGCAAGGTGCTGCTGAGGTCTCAGCTTGATGACATACCACAATTCCAGAATAATCTACACAGACCCTCCACTTCCCTGATGCACAGGGCATGCAACGATAGCATCTCTTCTGCAGTTGAAATTTTTGGAACCAATACAGGCACATGAAGTTTGGTCAGTGGACTGTAAGTATTGAGTAAAGTAGGCAAACTCACCCATTTGCTCCTGGAGTTCCTCTGCAAAAGAAAAATGGGGAGAAGAAGAAAACAGTTCAGTGAATGTCCATTGACTTAGAATTGAAGAGGGTGAATGAGATCCTTTCTTTGTTGATTAACATGAATATTGGCCATTAATAGTGAGCAAGCTCTTCAATCTGTAGGCTAGTCCCATTCCTATCCCGCTACGTAGTAGATAGAGAAGATGATATTCTTGCTTTGATCAATTGAAGAAAAAACTTCATGGCGACAACTAATTAGCAAAAGGTGTATATGACACACTATGCTCCTCTGCTAATATGGGTTCTGCTATGAAAGGAGCAGTTACATCATGAGCTGATTCCATTTGCTGTTTCAGTGCAGAGTCCTTTCAACGTGTAAATTGCCTTTCTTACTCTGTCTCAGCAAGAGTGTTATGGTTCTTGGAGAATACAAACAAGTAGCGGGTGGGTCTATTTCAATTTCAGCAATGTATGAGCAGCACTGCTCAGAACAAGCCAGTGCTCATATATGTTATTGACAAAATTAGCCTAGTAATCTGCTCTATCAAAAACAGGAAAGTGGGCTGAGGTCTAAAAAATCAATGATTTTTCTTTTCATTCCACAAGACTCCTACACAGCAGTAGAGCACACGGAAGAAACAGGTCACAGACTTACTTTTTCTCTTTTCCAAGTCTCCTAAAAAAAGAAAAGATATATTTAAAGATAACAATAGCAGCCTTTGCAATAATAAAGCCAAGAACAATGGTAACACATGTTATCTCATCTTTTATTCATTCTGGTGGTCTTCTCTTAACCCTCTCCAGTTTGAGAACGTCTTTCTTCAGTTGGGGACTCCAGAACTGCAAAAACTATTCCAGCAACAGAGCCAAATACAGAGCTAATATTATCTCTATAGTCCTCGTTAAGATCACCATCGTGGTCTCTGGCCTAGGGCCCAGTGAACACTTTCCTACTGAAGGGCTTCTATGAGCTCCAGTGAAAGGGTACTTCCTCTTCCACTGCAGCGATTCCTGCCCGCCACTAATCACCTCTTCTGCAGAGGACAGGAGGTGCTGGGGGGAGGACTGGGGGAAGGAAGAGGCGGAACGAAGATGTGCCACTCTTGGAAGAGGGGTTGCAATAGGGCAGGGAGAAGAGGAGTGGGAGAGGGAAGAGATGGGGCAGGGGTGGGGCCTTGAGGGAAAGGGTATAGTAAGGGAGGGGCAAGGGACACAGAGGTGGTCACGCACCATCAAGGAAATCAAAACGTTGGCACCTGTGCCTACACTGCCCCCACATGACTGGGTGACTGAATCGAACCTTAACAACATCTCCTTCATTTTGAAGTGAAAAATCAGAACAGTCCATTTTAATATGGAGGAAATAGAAACTTTGACTCTACGGAGATGCTTTTGCTTCTTTCTTGTTCTTTTCTTCATCCAATAAGTTTTTTTCCGCCTGAAATAGGCACATTCCCATGGAAAGTTTCTGCCAACACCTTGCTCTCATCGTGAATACACCGGACCAGAAGACAGGATATCTAGGGTCTATTTCCTGTTCTAGCAAACATCCCTGTGTGACTATCAGCACTTCCTTTCCAGGGGGATTGTCAACGAGCCGACACTGGGGGCTCTGCACAGGTTGTGGGTTCCCAGTTTGGGGGAAGCTCTTCGGGGAAGACAATTCTCCCTCCATCCCTGATGTACAAGCTGGAGTGTCCGCATGACCTCAGCTACTACAAGGTCAGGCACAGCACTAGCAACTCGGTCCTGCCACACTCCCCATCCAGAGCTTTTGCATTCAATGGATATGTTCAGTTCCTGTAGCATGTGGATGTTTTTTCTCACATGCCTGACTTCCCTTGAACCCCGACCCCCTCTGACTTTCTTTGCAAAGTGCTGGGGAGGTCTCAGGTCGATGACATACCACGATTCCAGAATAATCTACACAGACCCTCCACTTCCCAGATCCATGGGGCATGCAATGAGAGCATCTCTTCTGCAGTTGAAATTGTTGGAACCAATACAGGGCACACGAAGTTTGGACAGTGGACTGTAAGTATTGAGTAAAGTAGGCAAACTCACCCATTTGCTCCTGGAGTTCCTCTGCAAAAAAAAATGGGGAGAAGAAGAAAACAGTTCAGGGTTTGTCCATTGACTTATGAATTGAAGAGGGTGAATGAGATCCTTTCTTTGTTGATTAACATGAATATTGGCCATTAATAGTGAGCAAGCTCTTCAATCTGTAGGCTAGTCCCATTCCTATCCCGCTACGTAGTAGATAGAGAAGATGATATTCTTGCTTTGATCAATTGAAGAAAAAACTTCATGGCGACAACTAATTAGCAAAAGGTGTATATGACACACTATGCTCCTCTGCTAATATGGGTTCTGCTATGAAAGGAGCAGTTACATCATGAGCTGATTCCATTTGCTGTTTCAGTGCAGAGTCCTTTCAACGTGTAAATTGCCTTTCTTACTCTGTCTCAGCAAGAGTGTTATGGTTCTTGGAGAATACAAACAAGTAGCGGGTGGGTCTATTTCAATTTCAGCAATGTATGAGCAGCACTGCTCAGAACAAGCCAGTGCTCATATATGTTATTGACAAAATTAGCCTAGTAATCTGCTCTATCAAAAACAGGAAAGTGGGCTGAGGTCTAAAAAATCAATGATTTTTCTTTTCATTCCACAAGACTCCTACACAGCAGTAGAGCACACGGAAGAAACAGGTCACAGACTTACTTTTTCTCTTTTCCAAGTCTCCTAAAAAAGAAAAGATATATTTAAAGATAACAATAGCAGCCTTTGCAATAATAAAGCCAAGAACAATGGTAACACATGTTATCTCATCTTTTATTCATTCTGGTGGTCTTCTCTTAACCCTCTCCAGTTTGAGAACGTCTTTCTTCAGTTGGGGACTCCAGAACTGCAAAAACTATTCCAGCAACAGAGCCAAATACAGAGCTAATATTATCTCTATAGTCCTCGTTAAGATCACCATCGTGGTCTCTGGCCTAGGGCCCAGTGAACACTTTCCTACTGAAGGGCTTCTATGAGCTCCAGTGAAAGGGTACTTCCTCTTCCACTGCAGCGATTCCTGCCCGCCACTAATCACCTCTTCTGCAGAGGACAGGAGGTGCTGGGGGGGAGGACTGGGGGAAGGAAGAGGCGGAACGAAGATGTGCCACTCTTGGAAGAGGGGTTGCAATAGGGCAGGGAGAAGAGGAGTGGGAGAGGGAAGAGATGGGGCAGGGGTGGGGCCTTGAGGGAAGGGGTATAGTAAGGGAGGGGCAAGGGACACAGAGGTGGTCACGCACCATCAAGGAAATCAAAACGTTGGCACCTGTGCCTACACTGCCCCCACATGACTGGGTGACTGAATCGAACCTTAACAACATCTCCTTCATTTTGAAGTGAAAAATCAGAACAGTCCATTTTAATATGGAGGAAATAGAAACTTTTGACTCTACGGAGATGCTTTTGCTTCTTTCTTGTTCTTTTCTTCATCCAATAAGTTTTTTTCCGCCTGAAATAGGCACATTCCCATGGAAAGTTTCTGCCAACACCTTGCTCTCATCGTGAATACACCGGACCAGAAGACAGGATATCTAGGGTCTATTTCCTGTTCTAGCAAACATCCCTGTGTGACTATCAGCACTTCCTTTCCAGGGGGATTGTCAACGAGCCGACACTGGGGGCTCTGCACAGGTTGTGGGTTCCCAGTTTGGGGGAAGCTCTTCGGGGAAGACAATTCTCCCTCCATCCCTGATGTACAAGCTGGAGTGTCCGCATGACCTCAGCTACTACAAGGTCAGGCACAGCACTAGCAACTCGGTCCTGCCACACTCCCCATCCAGAGCTTTTGCATTCAATGGATATGTTCAGTTCCTGTAGCATGTGGATGTTTTTTCTCACATGCCTGACTTCCCTTGAACCCCGACCCCCTCTGACTTTCTTTGCAAAGTGCTGGGGAGGTCTCAGGTCGATGACATACCACGATTCCAGAATAATCTACACAGACCCTCCACTTCCCAGATCCATGGGGCATGCAATGAGAGCATCTCTTCTGCAGTTGAAATTGTTGGAACCAATACAGGGCACACGAAGTTTGGACAGTGGACTGTAAGTATTGAGTAAAGTAGGCAAACTCACCCATTTGCTTCTGGAGTTCCTCTGCAAAAAAAAATGGGGAGAAGAAGAAAACAGTTCAGGGTTTGTCCATTGACTTATGAATTGAAGAGGGTGAATGAGATCCTTTGTTTGTTGATTAGAATGAATATTGGCCATGAATAGTCAGCTAGCTACTCAATCCATAGGCTAGCCGCATTCCTATCCCACTACTTTTGTGGGTTGGATAGCTCAGTAGTTTGCGCATTGGCCTGCTAAACCCAGGGTTGTGAGTTCAATCCTTGAGGGGGCCATCTTGGGCAAAAATTGGAGATTGGTCCTGCTTTGAGAAGGGGGTTGGACTAGATGACCTCCTGAGGTCCCTTCCAACCCTGAGATTCTACGTAGTATATAAAGAAGATCATATTCTTGATTTGATCAATTTAAGAAAAAACTTCATGGCCACAGCTAATTCGCAAAAGGTGAATCTGACACATTATGCTCCTCTGCTAATATGGGTTCTGCTATGAAAGGAGCAGTAACACCATTTACATTATGAGCTGATTCCATTTGCTGTTTCAGTGCAGAGTTCTTTCAATGTGTAAATTGCCTTTTGTACTTTGTCTCAGCAAGAGTGTTATGGTTCTTGGAGAATACAAACAAGTAGTGGGGGAGTCTATTTAAATTTCAGCAATGTATAAGAAGCACTGCTCAGAACCAGCAAGTGCTCATATATGTTATTGTCAAAATTAGTCAAGTAATCTGCTCTATCAAAAACAGGAAAGTGGGGTGAGGTCTAAAAAAATCAATGATTTTTCTTTTTATTCTAGAAGACTCCTACACAGCAGTAGAACACACTGAAGAACTGTTCATAGAATCATAGAATCATAGAATATCAGGGTTGGAAGGGACCCCTGAAGGTCATCTAGTCCAACCCCCTGCTCAAAGCAGGACCAATTCCCAGTTAAATCATCCCAGCCAGGGCTTTGTCAAGCCTGACCTTAAAAACCTCTAAGGAAGGAGATTCTACCACCTCCCTAGGTAACGCATTCCAGTGTTTCACCACCCTCTTAGTGAAAAAGTTTTTCCTAATATCCAATCTAAACCTCCCCCACTGCAACTTGAGACCATTACTCCTCGTTCTGTCATCTGCTACCATTGAGAACAGTCTAGAGCCATCCATCCTCTTTGGAACCCCCTTTCAGGTAGTTGAAAGCAGCTATCAAATCCCCCCTCATTCTTCTCTTCTGCAGGCTAAACAATCCCAGCTCCCTCAGCCTCTCCTCATAAGTCATGTGTTCTAGACCCCTAATCATTTTTGTTGCCCTTCGCTGGACTCTCTCCAATTTATCCACAGGATAAATTCAGGAAGGACAGGCAGGGCAGAAAAGGTGGGGGAGTAGCACTGTATGTAAGGGAGCAGTATGACTGCTCAGAGCTCCGGTACGAAACTGTAGAAAAACCTGAGTGTCTCTGGATTAAGTTTAGAAGTGTGTGCAACAAGAGTGATGTAGTGGTGGGAGTCTGCTATAGACCACCGGACCAGGGGGATGAGGTAGATGAGGCTTTCTTCCGGCAGCTCATGGAAGCTACTAGATCGCATGCCCTGATTCTCATGGTTGACTTTAATTTTCCTGATATCTGCTGGGAGAGCAATACAGCAGTGCATAGACAATCCAGGAAGTTTTTGGAAAGCGTAGGGGACAATTTCCTGGCGCAAGTGCTAGAGGAGCCAACTGGGGGGGCGCTTTTCTTGACCTGCTGCTCACAAACCGGGTAGAATTAGTGGGGGAAGCAAAAGTGGATGGGAATCTGGGAGGCAGTGACCATGAGTTGGTTGAGTTCAGGATCCTGATGCAGGGAAGAAAGGTAAGCAGCAGGATACAGACCCTGGACTTCAGGAAAGCAGACTTCGACTCCCTCAGGGAACGGATGGCCAGGATCCCCTGGGGGACTAACATGAAGGGGAAAGGAGTCCAGGAGAGCTGGCTGTATTTCAAGGAATCCCTGTTGAGGTTACAGGGACAAACCATCCCGATGAGTCGAAAGAATAGTAAATATGGCAGGTGACCAGCTTGGCTTAACGGTGAAATCCTAGCGGATCTTAAACATAAAAAAGAAGCTTACAAGAAGTGGAAGGTTGGACATATGACCAGGGAAGAGTATAAAAATATTGCTCGGGCATGTAGGAATGATATCAGGAGGGCCAAATCGCACCTGGAGCTGCAGCTAGCAAGAGATGTCAAGAGTAACAAGAAGGGTTTCTTCAGGTATGTTGGCAACAAGAAGAAAGCCAAGGAAAGTGTGGGCCCCTTACTGAATGAGGGAGGCAACCTAGTGACAGAGGATGTGGAAAAAGCTAATGTACTCAATGCTTTTTTTGCCTCTGTCTTCACTAACAAGGTCAGCTCCCAGACTGCTGCGCTGGGCATCACAAAATGGGGAAGAGATGGCCAGCCCTCTGTGGAGATAGAGGTGGTTAGGGACTATTTAGAAAAGCTGGACGTGCACAAGTCCATGGGGCCGGACGAGTTGCATCCGAGAGTGCTGAAGGAATTGGCGGCTGTGATTGCAGAGCCATTGGCCATTATCTTTGAAAACTCGTGGCGAACCGGGGAAGTCCCGGATGACTGGAAAAAGGCTAATGTAGTGCCAATCTTTAAAAAAGGGAAGAAGGAGGATCCTGGGAACTACAGGCCAGTCAGCCTCACCTCAGTCCCTAGAAAAATCATGGAGCAGGTCCTCAAAGAATCAATCCTGAAGCACTTGCATGAGAGGAAAGTGATCAGGAACAGCCAGCATGGATTCACCAAGGGAAGGTCATGCCTGACTAATCTAATTGCCTTCTATGATGAGATTACTGGTTCTGTGGATGAAGGGAAAGCAGTGGATGTATTGTTTCTTGACTTTAGCAAAGCTTTTGACACGGTCTCCCACAGTATTCTTGTCAGCAAGTTAAGGAAGTATGGGCTGGATGAATGCACTATAAGGTGGGTAGAAAGCTGGCTAGATTGTCGGGCTCAACGGGTAGTGATCAATGGCTCCATGTCTAGTTGGCAGCCGGTGTCAAGTGGAGTGCCCCAGGGGTTGGTCCTGGGGCCGGTTTTGTTCAATATCTTCATAAATGATCTGGAGGATGGTGTAGATTGCACTCTCAGCAAATTTGCGGATGATACTAAACTGGGAGGAGTGGTAGATACACTGGAGGGCAGGGATAGGATACAGAAGGACCTAGACAAATTGGAGGATTGGGCCAAAAGAAATCTGATGAGGTTCAATAAGGATAAGTGCAGGGTCCTGCACTTAGGACGGAAGAATCCAATGCACCGCTACAGACTAGGGGCCGAATGGCTAGGCAGCAGTTCTGCGGAAAAGGACCTAGGGGTGACAGTGGACGAGAAGCTGGATATGAGTCAGCAGTGTGCCCTTGTTGCCAAGAAGGCCAATGGCATTTTGGGATGTATAAGTAGGGGCATAGCGAGCAGATCGAGGGACGTGATCGTTCCCCTCTATTCGACATTGGTGAGGCCTCATCTGGAGTACTGTGTCCAGTTTTGGGCCCCACACTACAAGAAGGATGTGGATAAATTGGAGAGAGTCCAGCGAAGGGCAACAAAAATGATTAGGGGTCTAGAACACATGACTTATGAGGAGAGGCTGAGGGAACTGGGATTGTTTAGTCTGCAGAAGAGAAGAATGAGGGGGGATTTGATAGCTGCTTTCAACTACCTGAAAGGGGGTTCGAAAGAGGATGGATGGCTCTAGACTGTTCTCAATGGTAGCAGATGACAGAACGAGGAGTAATGGTCTCAAGTTGCAGGGGGGGTTTAGATTGGATATTAGGAAAACTTTTCACATGAGGGTGGTGAACACGGATGCGTTACCTAGGAGGTGGTGAATCTCCTTCCTTACAGGTTTTAGGGTCAGCTTGACAAATCCGGCTGGGATGATTTAACTGGGAATTGGTCCTGCTTCGAGCAGGGGGTTGGACTAGATGACCTTCTGGGGTCCCTTCCAACCCTGATATTCTATGATTCTATGAAATGGGTCACAGACTTACTTTTCCTCTTTTCCAAGTCTCCTAAAAAGGAAAAATATATTTAAAGATAACAATAGTAATAATAACGCCAAGAACAAACGTAACTACAATCTTGATTTGAAAAATTTCCAGAGATGGAGGATCCACCGCAACCCCTCGTAAATTATTAGAACACCTAATCACCCTCACTCTTAAAAATTTAAGCCTTATTTCTAGTCTGACTTTCCTAATTTCAATTTCCAGCCATTGGATTTTGCTAGACCATTCTCTGCTAGACTAAAGAATCATAGAATCATAGAATATCAGGGTTGGAAGGGACCTCAGGAGGTCATCTAGTCCAACCCCCTGCTCAAAGCAGGACCGATCCCCGACTAAATCATCCCAGCCAGGGCTTTGTCAAGCCTGACCTTAAAAACTTCTAGGGAAGGAGATTCCACCACCTCCCTAGGCTGAGAACAGTCCTCTTTGGAACCTCCTTTCAGATACTTGAAAGCAGCTATCAAATCCCCCCTCATTCTTCTCTTCTGACGACTAGACATCCCCAGTTCCCTCACCCTCTCCTCATAAGTCATGCGTTCCAGTCCCCTAATCATTTTTGTTGCCCTCCGCCCATTATCACACATTTGTTCTCTATCTAAATACATATAGAGTGTAATCAAGTCACCTCTTCTCTGTCGTCAGCTAAATAGGTTGAGCTCTTTGAGTCTATCACTATAACACATGTTATCTAAACCTTTAATCATTCTGGTGCTCTTCTCTGAACCCTCTACAGTCTGACAACTTCTTTCTTCTGTTGGGGCCACCAGAACTGCAAACAGTATTCCAACAACAGAGCCAAATACAGAGTTAATATAACCCTAATTAAAATCATCCCCATGTCCTCTGCTTTGGGGCTGAGTGAACACTGTCCTACTGAAGGGCATGCGTAAGCTCCAGTGAACAGGGTAGTTTTTCTGAGACAGAATTTGCACTCACCAGCAGGCCCCACCAATCAGCTCCACCCCTCTAACCCAGCACCTCCCGCCCG